CTTTTTCAAAAGCTTTGAACACCGCGGCTTATACAATGCTGTGGCTAATTTACAGATTTTTTGTTTTTGTTTGTTTTGTTTTTTGACGTGCTAACGAGTTTCATGCCACCAGAGTTTTTAGCCTCGTTACACCTGGATGCTCGCATACCTGCCCAGTACACATCTCTTTTTGGTGGGTGAGTCCTTGTTACGACTGCTGTCGTAAATTGAATGTGTGTGAGTGTGCAAAGCCCTAATTGTGCCAATTAGTGTCCAGGTGTGCGGCTGGAGGAAGACACTGCTGAATGGAGCTGTGATTGGCTGCCTTCCTGGAGGTGCTTCAGAAGAGGAGCTGAGTTGGAGATGACATTGGGTTTTCCATCTACTCTGCGTGTCCCAACCAGCCACAGCTGGCCTGCTGTTCTCCATTAGATACATTAGTATAGTTTTGTAAGGAGTTCTTGTAGGGGTGAGCTGCTATTTTAGTTAAGAGCTTTTTCTCCTGTTTTGTTTAGTTTAGGTCAGATAAGAGACCTGTATTCTGGTTAATTTTGATTTGTTAGGTAAGTGATTAAAAATAGGAATACAATAGTTGGTTTTGTTTATTATTTTTTTCTGAGGCTCACCCTGAAGTCTGGTAAGATGCCTATGTGCATATATCATCATTCATTCACCTTGTAAATAAACACTGTTAACCTTTTCATCTGACTCCATGGCTGCTTGAGGTGTGCAGAGGGCGGAAACGCCCACCTTTAATTACAACCTGGCGCAAAGAGCCTTTGTGCCAGTTGTAACAGTCCTCATGACTCAGTGAGACTACCTGTATAAATAAAGGTAAAACAATAAAATAAATAACCTCGCTAATGGAATTACGGAGCAGGTCACAGTGAACCAATGAAACTTGGTTTCACTGGTTCAATGTGGAGGTGGGGGGGGGGCTCCTCCCCCTCCCTGTGGGAGTTTCCTCATGGTAGTTTCCCCCCTTGTTGTACACAATGAAGTATTTGCAGCCACTGGAAATAAGTGAATCATAAATCAAACCACAAATTTGCTTTGAGACGAAAGTGACGTTGAGAGCGACAACAAAAGAGA